GGTTTCCCGTGTGTAAATATTTTTCCGAAACTCGAACTGTCCATCGGAGGTTTCGTTATTTATTTTATTTTGAGTTAAGATCGTGTGCAAGTTTATTGCTTTTCTTTAGTATTATGCATGAAGTATTGTTACCAAGGTTCAAATATGTAAGCAATTATCTTACGTTAAGAAACAAACTAAACAATTTTTAATCAACTGTTATAGAAGACAAAGTTTCACTTTTCTAACAGTTCGATTTCCATTGTTATATCTCGTCATCCCCTTGTGGGATGCAATTTTTAGCTATTTTGAAGACCCACTCTGGTTTTTGCTGGGAGCCCTAAATATAGCCGGGTATGAATTATGGCCAAACGGCTGAACTGGGTTTCCCGGACCTCTCCAAGGGTGACCCTCATCCGCATGGTGGCACTTTGTGTCCCCGGGTGTTTAATGCTTCAATGATGTCCTGGTGGGGTACAACTTCCATACAAAGATTAGGCCTTTTTCCGAACATCTTTTATGTGCGAATTAGGTTCCGGGACCTAGGTTCCACTGTATATATTAAGCCCTAAGTCTTCGCGTCCTTACACGCACGGGATCAGATTTACAATCCCGTAATCACGCTTCGTTGTCTACTATATCAAGATCGATTTAAGTGGCTAAGCAAATGGTATCTTACACATAAATTACTCAACTCTTAACCACCATACAATTCCTCCAGCACATTGCCAGACACCTCATTATCAGCCTTTTATTTAAAACGTTCATTCCACTTCATAGAGTTGTCAAAGTTGTTGTGATCATAAACAACACATAGTATGGATCGGGTGGATTCACTGTTTGTGGTGCACCTTGAAATAAGTAGTATTTTAACGATGTAAAGTATATTAATCCCGGAAGACTATGCCTAAACCACATATGGTGCTGCGCTCGCCGACAGAGCTTCAGCTCATACTTATACAGCTGAGCTAGTTGTGCGAGTCGCGAATCGAAGATAAACATCTGTACAAGATCGACAGGTACAGTGGTCTTTAAGTCAGTCTAAGGACCGATTAGGAGGGGAAGGGGGGAGGGTTACGCTTTGAATTTCTCCACAGTCGAGGTAGGTGCAAGAGTGCTAGTTTATAATTCCATATGCAGTGTCCTAAAGCAGGTAGGCTTGTGAAAACAAACAAGCGTAAACGGGCACTGCAGAAATTGGATGCAGCTGCAGAAAAAGTTTCGAGCTGGCTGTGGACACAACGGAACGACCTGAGGAATAGGCCTCGGTAGACTTGTTCGAGCTCCTAGTGGAAAATAACTTTTTAATCCATTAGGCCAAATTTTGTCTGATTAACGTCTGCTGGTGTTACTGCCAACTGCTAAAGTCTGTCCTATGAACCAACCATCCATTGGTCACTCAAGTCGTGTAGGAAGGCGCTTAATGTTCTGTCACAGCGACGATCACCATAACCTCAGTACCTGTTGCAATTACCATAAAGTCTTGTCCGATAAGTGCAGCAGAAGTAGTCAGAGGCCCGGGAGTCATGGCTCGGGTTGCCCTCCCCCTCCACTCCTCCCCTTTTTTGTAGAATGTCTTGGGAGGTAAACGGACTGAAACGGACTGATAATTGGTAAACTCCTGTTGTGCATTCTCCCTTCGGGAAATTCTTCTTATATATTGTTTCTTTTTTTCCCCATTATTTCTCCCCCCCCCCCCTCCTCCCCCCCCCATTTTTTCTCATTATATTATTTCTATTTTTTTGTTTCAAACGCTTTCGTTAATAATTATTATTTCCTTTTCCTCCCTCTGCTCATCTTGTTATGCTGTTGTTATTTTTATTACACCTTCCTCTTCTTCTTCTTCTTCTTCTTCTTCTTCTTCTTCTTCTTCTTCTTCTTCTTCTTCTTCTTCTTCTTCTTCTTCTTCTTCTTCTTCTTCTTCTTCTTCTTCTTCTTCTTCTCCTTCTTTTTCTCTTCCTCCTCAACCCACTTTCAACTTATACTACTATTACTGCCTCTACGGTTACCATTACTAGTACTGCTAGTTCTACTACCACCGTCCACACCGTCTCTACCACCACCACCATTACTACTACTACTGCTACTACTAATACTACTACTACTGTCCATGCTGCTAATGATGCTGCTTCTGCTGCAGTTACTAAGAAAAAGCTTCAAAATGAGCGTGTAATCAGACAAGCTTTGTTAAGTCTAATCATTTACCTTCTGTCCCATTATGAGACAGACAAATGAAAGAATAACATTTTTTTTTTCTCCATCAACGAATGTTCTACATGACAGTGTACCCAGATATACGGGTGTCCTACCGTATGGTGTGAACATATTGCTTGTCCATATCCGTTAACTGAACCCACTTTCTCCAATTGCAAGCTTTACGATATGTAAGTACATATGTGGTCCACTTGCCTTGACGCATGTATGGTTTGAATTAAATAGACTTTGTTTAGAAGGGAAAATACTCTACCATTAAGCAGGGACTTGCGTGGTATATGTAGTCCTTTAATGGCTAGTGGCCCACCTACGTCAATTTTAGAGTATTTTAAGCAGACAGCTGCCCCACAAACTAACTCAAAGGCCACCATCTGTGTTGGTCCGCAGTAGTTTACTGGACACATTCGCGGCTAACCTCTAAGCCTAGACATCAGCCTGAACCTATTGGTGTCAAGTTATAAAACAGATTTGAACTGCATGGTCTGTGTTCTATATTTATGGAAGTAATTAGATTTAAGTATGTATACCTGTTTCTGCCCTTATCTTTACTACATGATGGTTAGACCAACAGAGTGACGTCACATCTGTCAAATCACAGATATACAACGTTTAACCTACAAAAATGTTACAATAATGGCGCCCGTAACAGCTGAGCCAAATACTGCCCTGGTGTACCCTGTTGTCAAAAACGGGTTTGGATTATTTGTAATTTTTTAAAAAGCTGTGATTGTTGTTAAATAAATAGTTTATAAGAAGTTAATATTTAAAACTTAAAGAGACTTCCTCAGGCATTCTTTTCACGCTTTAGTCACGTCGGACACAGTACGTTGTACCCATATTTTCAGACCAATCAGCATTCAATAAATGATGTCCTGCAGGTTGTGGAAACAGAGTAGAGTAGTACTTTTACCCCACTAGGACATCACACAAGCGATAAACGCCCGATGACACAAAGTGCCACCATGTGGATGAGGATCACCGTGGAGAGGTACCAGAAACCGCGTTCAGCCATTTAACCATAGTTATGGCCGGGCTATATTGCGGCTAATGGCAAGAGCCAGGGTGGGGCTTCAAATAACGAAAAGTTGCATCCCACAAGGGGATAACTGAGTATAAAGATTAGTAGTGGAAACAACATTTACAACAACACTTATTAGTCTAGTTAGGTAGGTGCTTTGCTAGAGAGAGAGAGAGAGAAAAAATCCTCACACTCGACCAGCATCCGGGAAGAGACAGCTTTGGGTTATAACTTTAAGTAGTAGTAGTAAATTTTACCCCACTAGGACATAACACAAGCGATAAACACCCGATGACACAAAGTGCCATCGGGTAATTAGTTATTAATTAACTGTAACTAAATTATGTGCGCCAAATAAAATGGCTTAGCATGGTACGCCACCAAGAGCCATGCAAAGGACTCCTACAGTGTTGATGCGATATAAGGAGACAGGCCCAAATACTGTCCCGAGCGGCTACGTAGTCATCTACCGGCAAGCTAATGAACTATCCTTTCGCCCATGTGTTGTGTGTAAATGCGCTTGTAAGTGTTTGCAACTCATGATAATAACAGTACAGGGAAATCGAGATTAAGTCCCTTTTTATGTACCGAACAATATAATTAAATGCGGCCTAGTTTAGCTGAGCTGTGAAAATGAATGAATTAAAAGAAAACATAAATTTCATTCCTCTGCTTCCTAATGTGGTTATTTTAGTGTCATGTACATCTTTGCTATGCGACAGGGCACAATACTTGGGGAAGGATGAAGGTGTAAGGCCGAGCCATTTGTAAACCACGTAGGCACAAACTAAGTACGATTTTGCACTTTGAAAGAATGAATGAGGTTTACACAACCAGAACCGCACAACGAACGATAAACAAAGTGCCCCCATTAGGATGAAGATCACTCGGGCACCAGTCTCAGAATCTCCGTTCAACCTAGGGCCCCCGAAAACAGCTCGAGTGGGGCTTAAAGTAACGTAAAATTGTGTCACATGATCCGATGGCAACACAGAATTGTACTCCTAAAGCCTAAAGTACAAAACATAGAGTGTGATTCATCACTGACCCTAATATAGCGAGTAAATATTTTATTTATTAGTTACATCTTAGAAAGAACTATTTGCATTATAATACAAAGAGACAGAAGAACAGAAGCCTAAATGTGCACACATACTATCTGCTCTCAAAATTATAATTTTGATCTCCTTGCTGGTGCTTAACCAGAGGCTTTAAGGCTGTATAATCTTTGCCTTGCTATGATGAAGTAAATAGAGGAAGCAAAAGCAGGAAAAGAAGGCCAGAAGACCAACACATGAAATCACTGCTTTAGACTGTAGCTACTGTTTTAACCAGTTCCCCCCCCCCCCCACGTCATTTATTGTTTGACTGTGTTCTCCCCGACCAATTGTTCCTGTTTATTTTGTCCCCCCCCCCCCCCACCCCACATGAAATGCGACTTATTTTTTCCCCTGCATATCCACACCACAAGGCTCCCGTTCCACTTTCTAAATTGCGTTTGATGATCCATCCTCTGGTACAAGGTTCGATTTCCGCCGTGGACTATTTATTTTATTTTCATTTCTTTTTTAACTTTCCTGGTCGGACAATAGTATGAGAGCTCCGAGTAGAAGTGTTTAAGTGCGTCACCACGTAATATTCATAGAGCGACAGTGGTTGCACTTTGGGCAAATGTCAGTGTGAACCCGACACAGAATTAGAAAAGTGACTTATTACATAAGATATTTTGTCACCTTGAGAGTTGAGAGATGCAGGAAAATCTGGCATAGTAAATTGACATCTAAACAATATGGCGACCTTCAGTATTGTCATGCGTTGTCTTTCACGGGGACAACGGCAATGTAGTTTACGTTTGCGAACTTGCTCTAGAGCGTTAAGTAATATTCATATTAAAAAAGGGTTTTACCAAGTGCAGATATGTACTTTTTCTTATCAGAAAGACTATGTGCGTTTATTTTCGTCGACCTCAAGACTATTAGAAAGTCAGACGCAGCAGACCCCGGTTTTATCGCCATTATTGCAAACCCAACGTTCTTCCGATGACAGTATCAGCAAATTAGGTAGTGCCGACGATGGGAAGAAAGACGACCCTGGTTCTGATGACAAATCAAACCCTGACAAACAGAAGGACTCTTGGTGGAGAGGAAAGAATTCTTGGCGACTGGGATTAATCTTCATTGGTGGCGTTTTGACGGCATGGGGTGTGGGTCTGGTATCTATATGGGGTAAGGAGATTGTCTCATGCGCATATTCACTTTCTTCACTGTTTTTTGTTTTTGTTTATTCAACATTTTCTGTATACATTTAATGATTTATTATATCACAAATTATGTTTATTCATACTAAACTGAAAATTTGCTCATGTCAAATGAGTACTGTTTTTTTATGTGAAGCAGAAACATGGAGAACTAAGGCAATTCGGCAATTAATAATAAACTACAATCACAATCATTCATTAACTGGTATGTGCGCAGCATAAAGGGAATTAAACGGTATGATAGAATCACTATGTGAAGCTTTGGGAAAGAACTAAACTAGCAACTTTGGTCAAATTTTCAAAATCGTTTTATCCTCATAAAACAAGTACAGCTGCATCCGTATTGAAAAACCCTTTCCAACGGTGCCTCTTTCATGCCTCTATGTCAAGTCTAAGCAGAGTTATTGAAGTTTTTGTGGGAAAAGTTAACAAAGAAGAAAATATAAAAGTGAGCTGAAACTTGCTGCCCAGAAATCAGAAGTTTTAGAGTAGTGTTTAAAAACTGCTTTAACTTATAAAGTATTTAAAACAGACCCTAGAAACTATATATTTTTGGATTCAGGGCAACAAGCTTTAACCGAACAAACATAAAATTTTTAGTAGTTACGCAATATCGACTAATAATTATTCAAAATGGCCGCCATTTATCATAATCATCAGTCGATATGTTCTCGTAAACTTTATAACGTTCTTTTAAAGTATTAAAAATAGACCAAAGATAACAGATACTGTTGTGTTCAGGGCAGCAATGTCTAACTGAATATCTGGAAATTTTTAGGTATTACATCATATCGACTAATATTATTTAAAAATGGCCGCCAATTATCATGAAAAAATATTTTAATTAAAAAAAAATTTTAATGTTTTTTTTTTGTTATATGGGAAAACTATTTGCTGTGGGTATATTATATATATCCAGAGCAAATTTTTTTCTCACCCTGATAGAACAATCATGTAAGTCATATGATAATTTTGATTTGATAATTTAAGTCATGCTCTCTGGTCAGTTATTTTTCAATATGGTGTCTAATTTATATTTTTGTTGTTGAATGGTGGAGTCTGAACAGAACAATCAACAAGCCATCAACATATCTGTGCATTAATCTTTATTGTCTATGTATATGTTAATCTGTTTATTAATCACCAATGCCGCTCTTCTCGTAACATGACTAAAAGAAGTTTGTATCTTTCTCACAGGTTTACGTCATGGTAAAAGTCTGAAAAAAAAAGAAAAAAAAAATTAGTGAAATAATGCATATACAAATAATGCAGTAGTCATTTAAAAAACAATTCTGCAAAAAAGCAATGAATGCACCTGGATCACCAGACCCATCCTTGTGACGCAATTTTGATATCTGGTGAATCAGCATTGCAGCACGACATCCCAAGGCTGTTCTCTGATTGTCTTGCTCTGTAATGTGATCCTTTTCAAGCTTGTACAATACATCACGGGCAGTTCTGGCAAGACCATCCAATGGGTGTACCATACACTTCAGGTCGGCCAAATATCCGATGTCCCCCTGAAGTTTTTGGCTCACACAATGGTTGACAGCAGCTCTGTCCGTCATGGTGCTGTTTATTTTACCTTTCACTGCCTCCTTGAAAGCAGCTACTGGAATCTTAAAAGCGTCACAGTACATCTCAGAAACATCAGATAGAGCCTCAAAGACGTGCCGGTACAGCTGTTCTGTTGTAGACCCTGAAATAACCCTAATATTTAAAGTTAAAGACTGTTTATGACCTGATGTCATAAGAGTCACATGAACTTCATTAATATGGGATCCTTGTTTGGTTGTTGAGTCCCATGCCAGTGTAGCAGCATCGCACTCATGCAGCATCTGGCCAACCTGAATGTTGGCAAGTACCCCAAGTTCATACACCATCTGTGCTACTGTGGATACAGAGGGAACATTTAAAAGAATTTTGTTAAAGACAATTCCTGAAATAGACGATAACACACGTGAAATATTTGCAACACTGACATTATGCATCAAGCACTCATAGACTGACTGGCGAAATCTGTGAAAATATTTTCCTGCTTCTTTTGTTACAATATTGCGATGATCAGCTAAAGATTCTTCCAACTTGGCTACTTCATTTTCCAAATATGAAATATGTTCTCTTTCTTTGCGCAGCTTGGTGTTCATTTCTTGAATGTTCAAGAGAAACTTCTTAGACTCCTGTCTGATTTCATCAATTTCCTTTTTTAAACGATCCCTCTCTGTCTCTGTTGTTTTTTTTGAACGTTTTGAGATTGTAACCTGCTTTTTCAAACAATTGTTTTCCTCTATATATGCTTCAAGAGGAGCAACCCTTTTGAGTAACTTTCGCTGTTTCCTGCGTTCCAGTCTATTTACTTTTCTCATTTCTGTATATGCTCTCATTATCATGACATATTTAGATCTCCAAAGAGTGGCTGACTGTGATTGCCTCCTGATCTTCTCATTCAGAGTTTTCAAAGACATCTGTTTTCTTTCCTTTCTGTAATGCAGTCTAAGTGTTTTAATCTGCATTCGCAAGCTTTTGTTCTCCTTCAGCATGTTCAGATTTGTCCGCTGCTTGTTGACACAGTTGTCACAGTCCCTTTTTAGACGCTTTGGCGATGGTGACCTAGAGCGCACTAAAAAGGATGAATCGTCAGAGGTTAACCCCACAACAGCAGCCACTGGTGGTTCTGAAGTGTCTTGTAAAGGCATTGGTACAGATGTGTGTTCTGGTTGTGTAAACAGTGTGTTTGTATGTTCTGGTTGCATGAGTGCTGTGGAAGTTATAGCTGATGAATCAACTGTTTGTGCTGTATCATCATGAAACGATATGCCCAATGGCTCTTGGCTTAACCTTACAAAACCATCCCACTGCCTCTGAAATTGGTAGCAGAATTTTTTTTTGGCTATGATCTTTATATTATTAATAGCACTTAATGTTCGTTGCTCGTGTAGATGTTTGTCTGGCTCTGCCATCTGCACAATTTCCTTTATTCTTCTGCCTACATCAGAAACAGAAAGTTTGTCAATAACAAGTAACCTTATTACGTAGCCCTTCTTGATTGGATACTCAGGCTCAAAGCTTGCCAGGTGCGCTCTCATATCACTAGCGGTTCTATTTGCCATTGTTGTGAGACAGTGAATCTGTGCAAGAAAAAACATTTTGTTGATTGATACTGATATGGCGATATGCAGATGCTGAAATTAAAAATGTCAAATAATATCTCAAAGTAGATAAGTAGAGAATTGAGACATATTGAAAGGCATGTGAATTTAATTGATTGTGATAATATACTTGAGACTGAGAACTTCTCATTACATCATATATATATATGATGAAACAAACAGAACAGCTGGTGATTAATAAAAAAAATTTTATAAATTATTATTTCACAAGAAAGAAATTAAAAAATTAAATATAAAATATAAAAATACTCAAGACTCATTTGAAAATAATAATATACTCATTCTGGCAATACAAAGCCATACCTCTACCTTTAAATATGTGAAAGAAACTGATAACTATAACTGAAAACAGAATAACCAACAGTTATTAGTTATAATGAAACAACGTGAATGAAGTTTATGAAGTGTTGCTATGGCAACGTGCTTTTAGCGAACCGACCACCCCTTCGTTCCTTTGAGACAGGTCTAATTAAAATCTCTATATCTAATAACGCCGATCATTGAAAGAGTTAACATTTGTCTGAGATCTGTAAAAATGGATAGAGAATTTAAACATAACTAAAATAATTCTAAGGCTCAGCATATAATCATATTGTAAAACATATAACTAGATGACATTTTTCAACAAAATACTAGTCTTGATTAGCTACTTGGTGTCCCTATGAAAACATGCCGCACATCAATAAATAATCGCAAATTGCCATTAAATATGCTGAAATTATATGCAGGCTTCAAATAGTATTGCCAGAATGTGACTTAAAATAATAAAAATTAAATAAATATGCACGTTAATGAGGTTAAAGTCCGGTAGACTATGAAGGTTTATTTAGCGAGTTTCAAAATGGAGTCTGGCGTGCGACTAGAAAATGAGCTTTCAAGTGATGCACTTCTAAAAAATGTACTGTGAATTACGCCGATTAGTAATATCGCTGAAAATTCACACACTAATAGATAAATGGATGCTGAATCTAATTATTCCTAGTAAATCCCTAAGGCTTGCCTCAAAGTCTTTAAACGGATATAGTGAACTTACCTATATATTCACAACGGAACAACGAAAACATACAGTCAACCACAGATTCAACTTACCACATGTGCTCGCAACTGAACGTCAGGTCTTACGTTCGAGCTATTTATAGCTAGGGAAACCCCGTGATTTAGCGTGCTTTTCAAACGAATTTAGGGCACCCCGAATCCCGCCGAAGTTTTCCGTAAGCACATTTTTTCTAAATCGGTGACGTCATCATTATTCAAAGGTCACGTGCCGGGGGCGTGTCCGTAGTCGCTAACTAAACAAGTTCCAGTGGACCAAGAGGTGAAGAAAAGACGCTTGTGTTGGATATGACACACATTGAGAAAAACTGAGATTATAACTAGAATGTCTTTGCACTGGAACTCACAGGGGCATAGAAATAAAGGAAGAAAAAAAAACACATGGAGAAGGGAGCTCGAGAGCGTGGAGAGAGCTGCATGCGATAACAATGGATAGAATGACTTGGCATGATTTGGTTGAGGGCCTATGCTCCATTGGGGGCTATAAATGCAGAAGAAGAAGACTTGGGGCGGGGGCTACCATGTTAGTGTTATAAGTAACAACTGATAGTGCTGCACTGACTGATACTACACACGCTAACAAGGAGTTTAGGTGAGAAAAAAACGGCTGTCTTTGGATCCTAGGCTAGCATATGAATGCAAATGAAGGTGATCTGCATACTCTGTAACTGCAGCGTACCCGTATTTATTTAATTTAATATGTATATTTTGGGTGTCATAGTTTTACTAGCATTTGTTTTCATGCAACATACTTTGGCTGTGTCATTGACCTTGATGAACTGTTTGGGAGTTGATCCTCTACCACTGTTGTTTAAGCAATTTTTCATTATTTTAAAGCCCCACTCCGGCTGTTGTCGGGGGCCCTTATATTATCTAACAGTTAAACAGGGTTTCTTGAACTTGGGCCCAGGTGATTCTCATCTGAATGGTGGCATTTTGTGTCACTGGGTGTGTTTATCGCTTGTTGTACGGTCCTGGTGAAGGTTGAACTTCATTGATTGGATGCAGCAAAGGCAAGAAAAGGATCCTTTACTTGCAAAAAGGTGAAGATGTCATTCTGACGTGGCTGCCCTTTATTCTCCAATAGAGTTATTTCTTATGATTTTCTTGGTAAGGTGCTGTTGTTTAGGGACCCTGGTAACATATAGAACGGCATGTTTTATTTGTTTTAAAGTTTCTTAACCTCTTGTATTCACTACGTTTTAAAACTGTTTAGAACAGTGCAATATTGAGCTGTGCGGGTTTAGTTTTCCACCCTTAACTTGAAAAAACTTCCATTGCCTTCCTGAATATTCGTACACAGGTTTCCTATGTTTTCTTTACTTTTTTTTTAAAGCTTTTGTGTATGAATTTATTCTATGTTTTTGTAATGTTTGGTCTTAAATTCAACTTGTGAGCTTTAGATTTATGTTGATTTGCAGCATACACTATTGTTCTTCTTCGCATTCACCAGCTGTAAACTCAGGGGTAAAGTTCTGATTGTTCCTCCTCTTCTGGACTCGTAGTCCTCTTTCAGAAACTGAGAATTGTGTGCACATCTGTTTCACAGATCTGACTCATATGCGTGCAGATTATTGGTTCCTTGCCTCTCAGACAGATCTACTCCGACTTTGAAGGAAGCTCACAATTAGTTGACTCTTACGACATGCTTTTGGGCAGGCAGAGAGCCTGTCTATTCTTGTTGTCCCCATAATGAGACCCTGGAACCCAGACGGCGAGCATACAAAAGTATCAGGGATGCAGAGGTCATAACCACATGCTGTTGTGCATCTGAACCCACGCACTTAATAGTCAAGCTCTGTCTATACCTCTCTGCAGTCATTCTAGAAACATATTCCCAACCCGGGGCCTGGCCAACATTGATAAAATTGACATTTTCTTTGTATTCAAGAGTGCAACTGCCTGAAAGGCAAGGAACCATCACTCCACGCAAATAACCCAGATCTGCAAAGTACACGCGACACTCAAATCCTAGAACAAGGTCACAGTTCAAAAGTGGATGAACAACCAGGACTTTCTGTTAGTTTACAGCTAATGAACGCTAGGAAGAAGACAAATCAGGGTACACTTGTTACTACCTGTACCCATTTAAAGATTGAGGCTGATAGTATATCCTTTGTTTTTATGTTTCAGGTGCACCACAGCTAGATCCAGATGGAAAAGAGGTACAGAACCATTGTTGTTTATCTATTGATTTTGAAAGATGTCTTTTTTCTAAGCAGACCAGACCATTTTATCTTATATGATCTGGAATGGTTAAATTTGCTGAATCCTGAGGCTTGTCATAAGAGTAATGTTATATATTTGTATAAATAAGTATTTGGTTAAAGTTGGCCAAAAATTATCTCAGGTTTTCATAGTGTCTGTACTCCTTTATTTGTATCCTTTAACATAAGGCCAGAATGCACAGTAAAGGCAAACTCAACATAACTAATTCACTAGTTTAGGCTTCTCATGAAGAAAGAAAGCTGGCGCACATTGTGACAGTAGGAAGGATTGGGTAAACAAAAGAAGAGGCTAAGAATGAAAGTGGCAGACATTTTTTTTGCATCAGAAAATGGAGGACATCAGACTTAAGAATGATTAGTAGTGCACTTTGTACAGACATGACAATCAATGCCCTAAAACACGGCTATTAAACTGGCGGGGCCCTGGGCCAGATTGTGTCAACAGAGGCCTAGCAATTGGCCCACAAATCAGGTTAGTTGCATTGTATTAATGATCTTTCTATGCTGGGGTTTGAACCTCTGGCCTGTGACGATCCACATTAAAGACATGTTGGCCACTGAGTAAACTTTGTTGAAAAGCCCTCCTGCCCTTTGACGTGGATATTAAGAAAATGTCATTGCATTTGTAACTGCAGGTGTTATATATAAGAAAGGTAATTAATTATCCTGCAATTTGCTGAGTATTTTTAATATTATTTTATTGTCAGTTAACCTGTTTCATAATGCTTTTTTCTTCATGTTTTCAGATTCAAGATGAATTTAGTGAAAGTAAGTGCCTGTTAAAAAAATGTAATCCTTTTGTGTGCATAAATCAAGTTTGTCTTTGTTCTTATCAAAGTGACCAAAATTGTTTATAGAGTAATTTGATAACCCATCGTGTGTTTCGGGGCACCAGTGTGGGAGCAAAAGAAACATAGACCCACAATCCATGTCGTAAATTTTGACTAATTAGGGGTGCTTTCTTTAAAGTTGGAGTGCTGCTGCCTGAGAGGTGAGAAACCAATAACATGAATACAAATAAACCAGGTCTGTAAAATGGATGTGAGCACAAAATGTAAGTTCTGGAACAAGACCAAAGTCCAGGAGTGGATGAACAAACATAACTTCCATCAGAGTTTACATTTGGTGAATGTCAAGAAGAAGAAGAGTTCAGGGTTATATTGCCTGCATCTTGTTGACCATATCACCCATAGAATGTTGTGTGCACATCTGTTTTACAGATTTGACCTATTTGTAAGCAGATTGTTGGTTCCTTGCCTCTCAGGCAGATACACTCCGGCTTTGAAGGAAACCCTCAATCAGTCGACTATTACGATATGCTTGTTGAGGAGGCAGCGGGTCTAATCTTGTTTTCCCCACAATGGGGCCCCGGAACCCTTACAGGGAAATTGGGCTGTAATGTACCAGATGCACTACTGACATTTTTTAAAAAAAAAAGGTTCTTTACTACTATACTCCATGTTGTGTTGTTGCAGTGATTTTACATTTCCACTTCTTGTAGCAGGTCCTGGCAGAATGCCACTCTCGTCACAGCTTGCTGTAAAAACTCAGTTTTCTAGTTTCCCTGATTCATACATTTTCATGCTCATTGTCTTAAATGTCCTGTATCCTTCTAAATGATGGTTGAGTCCTGACCCTACTTCTTCCAGGATCCATGTGTTCTGTTACTGTTCTTTCTATGTTTTTTCTTCTTATTCATTCACCCATAAAAGAGAGGTTGGCACCTTATATTGTGGACGGTTTACAGCTAGCTGTGATATCTGCCTTATGGCCCCACACATCCTGTTTCAGCAAACCCTTAATTAGTTGGCGTCTGGAAGGGGCGTTGAAAGCGTGCTTCGTGGGACGATTCATCTTGCATTGGTCTTAACAGTGTTACCCAGATCTGACCATTCAGGAAGCAGTGGCAAACTACTGAATGTCAGTAGAAAACGTCTTCTTTATTTTCACCAGCTGTAAATTCAACTGAAAGGTTCTGGTTGTTGGTTCACTTCTAGACTTGAGTCTTGTTACAAAACCTGAGTGTTGCATCCACATCCACTTTACTGATATGGTGTATTTGTATACAGTTTGTTTGTTCCTTGCCTGTCAGGCATATGCATCCACACATAGATTTTCAGTATTTGAGACCTGATGTTATGTTTCAGCCATTTTTCTTGGGATGTTCAGATTTCAGGGTGAAATTTCAGTATTTTTCTGCAAATAAATTTAAAAGACTAGATTTTCTTCTTTTTTAGTGATAGTGAAACAGTCCATACATCTGTAAATTCATTTTCATCATCCTGTTTTGTCATTATGCATCACATAGCTCTTGCAGTCCAGCCCTTCATTCCATTATATCCAGTGAAATCCGCTCGATATCATCGATGGAATCATGTCCATGGCCCTTGGCCACTCTTAGAACAGTCATCTTAGTTCTATTGTTGGACATCCTTGTTTTCTCAGTCTATTTGTTTCCCATTTCTGTGCTTGTTTGGTGATTATGTGTTTCTCTTCATAATGTGTCCAATATATTGCCATCTTCTTTGACATGTTATTGTTGTTACAAGCAGTTGTCTGGATGTTTCTATTATTTCTTCTCCAGTCTTGAATTCATCCCTTTTAATGGTAATCAGTCTCAGCATTCGTTTTTGAATGCAGTTAACCTTTGTTCCATGTCTGTGGTGGTTCTCCAACTTTCACTTGCATATGATAACTTTGTTCCATGTCTGTGGTGGTTCTCCAACTTTCACTTGCATATGATAACTTTGTTCCATGTCTGTGGTGGTTCTCCAACTTTCACTTGCATATGATAACTTTGTTCCATGTCTGTGGTGGTTCTCCAACTTTCACTTGCATATGATAACTTTGTTCCATGTCTGTGGTGGTTCTCCAACTTTCACTTGCAAATGATAACTTTGCTCCATGTCTGTGGTGGTTCTCCAACTTTCATTTGCATATGATAACTTTGTTCCATGTCTGTGGTGGTTCTCCAACTTTCATTTGCATATGATAACTTTGTTCCATGTCTGTGGTGGTTCTCCAACTTTCATTTGCATATGATAACTTTGTTCCATGTCTGTGGTGGTTCTCCAACTTTCACTTGCATATGATAACTTTGTTCCATGTCTGTGGTGGTTCTCCAACTTTCACTTGCATATGATAACTTTGTTCCATGTCTGTGGTGGTTCTCCAACTTTCACTTGCATATGATAACTTTGTTCCATGTCTGTGGTGGTTCTCCAACTTTCACTTGCATATGACAACTTTGTTCCATGTCTGTGGTGGTTCTCCAACTTTCACTTGCATATGATAACTTTGTTCCATGTCTGTGGTGGTTCTCCTTTCACTTGCATATGATAACTTTGTTCCATGTCTGTGGTGGTTCTCCAACTTTCACTTGCATATGACAACTTTGTTCCATGTCTGTGGTGGTTCTCCTTTCACTTGCATATGATAACTTTGTTCCATGTCTGTGGTGGTTCTCCTTTCACTTGCATATGATAACTTTGTTCCATGTCTGTGGTGGTTCTCCAACTTTCACTTGCATATGACAACTTTGTTCCATGTCTGTGGTGGTTCTCCAACTTTCACTTGCATATGATAACTTTGTTCCATGTCTTTGGTGGTTCTCCAACTTTCACTTGCAAATGATAACTTTGCTCCATGTGTGTGGTGGTTCTCCAACTTTCACTTGCAAATTATAACTTTGTTCCATGTCTGTGGTGGTTCTCCAACTTTCACTTGCATATGACAACTTTGTTCCATGTCTTTGGTGGTTCTCCAACTTTCACTTGCATATGATAACTTTGTTCCATGTCTTTGGTGGTTCTCCAACTTTCACTTGCATGTGATAACTACAATTTTGTGGCATGACTAGGTTTGAAGTACTAATACAGGACATAGATCTTGACTTAAATTGCAATACTAACTAGTCTAGACACTTGTTTACCAGTAGTGTTTGTATTTTGTTGTAAGTTCATAATGAGTATACTATTGTTGCATTGTATTCAATTGAAAATTTTATGTTGTGTATACTATTGTTGCATTGTGCTTTATTTTTATTTCAGTGCCATCAGTTTTAGCATATCTGAGAAGAACTTGGAAAGAAATGAACATTTTCAAGCAGGTATGTTAATTAATGAATCATAGCTCAAAGCAAATTAACATTACATCTAATGAAGATGAGCAGTGTAATATCTCCGTCAATTCCTGTGTGTTTTTGGAGCCCTGTTTTTTTCTTCTGTTTTTTATTGTGTGTGTTTTTGTATGTTAAGAGGGTGAGGGAATAGACTAACTGCCCCTTAACAAGCAGTATGTAGAAGGTGACTAATTAGGAAAGTTTCCTTCAGAGTTGCAGTGCATCTGCCTGAGGAACTGACAGTCTGGAGGTAAATAAGACAAGATCTGTGAAACAGGTTAACATGTAAAACTTGTTCTCGAACAAGACCAAAATCCAGAAATGGATTAACAGCTGGGACTTTACAGCCATTGATCTCTTCAGACAAAACATAAACCTTTATCAGTTTAGATGAAAGGATACTTGGGGGTGCATAGAGGCAGTCTTTGAAATCAATTATAATCATTGTAATAAGTTATTTGCATCTAGTGGTTACAGGGTGTTTTAAGAAGGAGATAACTGCTGCTCTAACAGGATTGTCATTCTTCTTCTCTTCCACCTTTTACCTCAGCGAAGTGTCGGGGGGGGGGGGGGGGGGGGGGGTATAATATTCGTTGATGGGCTCTGTCAAGAGCACCATTAAGATTAATGTTCATTTCTGTAAGGTGGTTCTTAATGCCATTACTCCATATTTTCCGAGGTCTTCCACTCGCTCTGTACCCGTTGTAACTTTTCAGGTTGGCTCGCTGTGGCAAATAGTACCAGGGCATTCTTGTTAGGTGTCCAAACCACTTCATTTATTGTTCTTTGATGACCCGTAAGACTGGCTTTATTCCTAGCATTCGTCTGATTTCGTGATTTCAAATTCTGTCTTTCCTTGAAACTCCTGCAGCTCTTCACAATTTTACATTGATTAGAGGATGTAAGTGTCCACATTTGGCACTGATAGCAAAGTGTTGGCAAAAAAAATAGTTCTGGTAAGATTCACTTAAGTATTATGGGGTATCTGCTTTATGTCAAAAGGGGAGATAGTTGCCCCATTAGTTGATTAGCTTTGGCACATCTGAAGCTAGTTTCTCAAAAGTGCAGGAACCACGTAAATGTATGTTTCACATGTGTCATTCAACTGTACAACGAGCGACCAACACCTGTGCACAAGTCCCAGAAACCCCGTTCATCTGTTAAGTTATTTTAGGGCCCTCAACTACAGCCGGGGTGGGACTTTACAATAAGGAAACTATTTTGTGGGAATATATTTCACATGCATGCTATTAATTCATTTTACATTTGCTTGTTTTACAATGTTGTGTATACAATTTCAGAAAATCCAAGATCCATCTAGGGAAAAACTATTGCCAGATCCTCTGAAGTACCCTTACATTCAGCCACCATACACACTAGTGATAGAGCTCACTGGAGTTCTTATACATCCAGACTGGACAGTGAGTAGTCTTTTCTTCTTCTTCATCTTCTCAAAGTATTCTTTATGGTGTTAGTTATCATGTCTACCTATAGCCTTTTATCATGCCCATCTGTTTTTGATACATTTGTTCCTTCATGCCATGAGGCCAGATAGTATTAACATCTTCTCTCTTAGTCTCCTTCTGCCCGCCTCTTTCACCCCCAGATCTTTCCTGTTGTCACGGCATACTCCTATTTTTCCTTGCTGATACTTACTTACTTACTTAGTCGCTCTTTTTCAACCTTTGGATGTTGAGGTTTGCCAGAGAGGTTGCCAGACTTCTCTGTGAGTAGTTCCCCTCCCCCTGTTAGTGATACTACCAAAGGTTGGATTTTCTGATAAGGTGTGTTCATGGGTAAATTTTTTATCAGCACGTCATCATCGTCACTCTTTATCCGTCTATGGCATTCTTAGTATTCTGTTTTTGTGAAGCAGAATATAGTGAAATGACTTGTTCACCTTTTTTGTCGTTAGTCTTCTACCACAAAGTTACAGGAAAAAAAGACTGTGCAACTATCATCTTCATGTGGCAGGTCCATTGCAAAATTTCATTCCCGTCACAACCTATTAAAAAGCCCTTGCCAGTTTTCCCTGCTTAACTTGGTGTGTGTCCAAGGTAGTTGTGGTAACCGCCTGCCATTGGGGCGTTTGTTAACCTGAAACTTGGATAAATGTAACAGATTGTTTGTTTCTTTTACATTTATGTAAATTGTGAAAAATATTATTTTGAATCAAATAAATTGGTTAGGGGTGTCAGTCACAACCTGATGGCGGTGAGAATGGTAAGAGAATGAGGGTAACCTCCTCCTCATATATGAAAGTCTGTCACTTTACCTCTCCAAAGGCAGTGTCTGTAAAGAAAGAAAGATGTTTAAAAATTCTGAATGGTTTAGGTGAGTGGCATAGATTATAATAGGTCATACTTTTCAAGAACTTACTGGACAGATCTTTGTAGAGGAACCTGGTCACTTGGAGTGGCACCTTATAAGATTTTTTTTTTATCTTTCTGAAATGTGAAAGTTGGGGGAAGAATATTCAACTAAGTAATAAAATTAATTGTTACTGTACTGTTCATGACGTACTATTGTTGTCTGATCCCAGTACAACACAGGCTGGAGATTTAAGAAGCGACCAGGCATTGACTACTTCCTGCAGCAGATTGGACCTCCCTTGTATGAAGTTGTCATATACTCCTCAGAGTCTGGCTTGGTATGTTTTGGGTTTTTGATCACTTGTGTTTTGGGTTTGTGATCACTTGTGTATATGTATGTTTTGGGTTTGTGATCACTTGTGTATATGTATGTTTTGGGTTTGTGATCACTTGTGTATATGAATGTTTTGGATTTGTGATCACTTGTGTATATGTATTTTGTGGGTTTGTGATCACTTGTGTATTTGTATTTTGTGGGTTTGTGATCACTTGTGTATATGTATTTTGTGGGTTTGTGATCACTTGTGTATATGTATTTTGTGGGTTTGTGGTCACTTGTGTATATGTATTTTGTGGGTTTGTGGTCACTTCTATATGTGTATGTTTTGGGTTTGTGGTCACTTGTGTATATGTATGTTTTGGGTTTGTGATCACTTCTGTATATGTATGTTTTGGGTTTGTGGTCACTTCTGTATATGTATTTTTTTTTAGGTTTGTAGTCACTTGTTTATATAAATGTTTTGGGTTTGTGGTCACTTGTGTATAAGTATTTTTTTTAGGTTTTTAGTCACTTGTTTATATGTATGTTTTGGGTTTGTAGTCACTTGTGTGTATCTATTTTTTGGGTTTATAGTCACTTGAGTAAATGGATGTTTGAAGACTTCTTCCACTGATGTTAGTGCTAACTCTCATGACAAGTACACAAATTTGATTGCTGAGAACTTGTTTAATTGTATTCTGTAATTTTGCTTTAAGTTTCATTTTATTAAGACGTAAAGATTAGGTAAAGTGTTTGTTATTTAAGTGTTATGTGTTGTCTTCTGTAATTTAATCATTTTCTAAAGCAGTAAATAATATTCTGGTAAAATCAAAAAATATGCGTTCGCCTCCATTTAAACAGATTATGAATTTCATTGTTGCTTCTCACTCTCCATTCCTCACTGTTTGCATATTTGATTTGTCCAAAGATTCGTTGTAAGACTGTGTTTTTGAAAATTTGTAATAAAGCTTCATCTCTTTTAGTTGTGCTGCTGTCTTTATCATTTATTTATTGACACGATAGTGTGTTTAATAAAGGGTTACTGTTGCTGAATCAAAACTGTCATCCATCTCAACAGACCGCTGATCCTCTTGTGAATCATCTTGACCCCCAAGGTTACATAATGTACCGTTTGTACCGAGATGCAACTCGCTACATGGATGGGCACCATGTTAAAGTAAGATTACCGTTTTTAGTCTGTTATCCATGGAAATTTTATATGTTGCATGTATTATGTGTTTTGTTCTTGCATGCATTTTAAAATTGAGCATTATAAATCTACCACTTCTACTGTCAGGTCACTCTTATTATCAATAACATGTTGAAAGTGAAAACCTGGCCTCGTATTTTTAAAAGCTTTTTTTGTCAATTAAATTTGATTATTTTTACCCTCAAAAAAATGGATTGGGGGGGGGGGGGGTGAATTTGAAAAAAATCCAACTGGTGCGATTTTATGGTAAATATTATCAGGAATGTGATACAACATCTTGTGAATAAGTCATGCTGTCATGATACACATGAGCTAAAAATACCTGAAAGATCACAATTTCATGTTGGAAAATTAGGCAGGGTCATTCATGTTTATGAACATGAGATGTAAGAAATATTTTATCAGCCAGAAAGTCAGGAGGCTGATAATATGAAGATAGGTGTTGCTGAAACACGATGGAAAAGTTAAGAGTTACACATCATCATTAAATGCCTTGCCAGCTGGCGTAGGCATTCATGCATCTCCACAGATCTCGGTCTTTGATGTTCTGGATCAATTCTGCTGATAATATTCCTCCATGCCACTGTCTTGAGCCACCCACCATCATTTCTCTTGGTCTGTCTACTCCTCTTCTACCAGTAATCTTATTCGTCATAACGATATTTTTCACTGCTCCTTTTCTCATCATATGACAAAAAAACTTGGTACTTGATAGTGCAAAAAAGAGGGGCTTCCCTTGAATGTCAAGAAAACAGAAACAAAGAAGAAGATAACTCCAAAATGTGACATAGCAATAGAACTGAAAGTGCTTAACCACATCAATAACTTCAAGTATTTGGGGACATTCATAACATCAGATGAATGATATGTAACAGAAATTAAGAGCAGAATTGGCCATGCAAATGCAACATTTCAGAAGATGAAAAGTATCTTGTGTAATAAAACACTCTCATTTAACAAATCAAGTACAAAGCCTTTTCTTTGTATGGGTATGGCAGTAAATCTTTGAAAAATGACAAATGACAAATTTAAGCATTTAGGAGGATGAAAACACCAACATACGTGAGAAATTAGAAGAAAGCTCTGAAAGGACAAAAATTAGATATTTGGCATAGGATAGATTAAAACTTGTTAAAAAATGAGAGCAAAATCATGCAGCTGACTGATACAAACCTATGCACACATATGACTGCTGTTCAGAGGACATCAGGGCATTTTATGAATAACTACAAATTGTACATAGATTAATGCAATCCGTAGTGGTTATACTACCCTCACAGTGTAATGTATGCATAGAGTGAGTTGTTTAGTGGAATGTTATTGGCACCTCTCCGTCTTTCCAGACTATAGTGTTATATTGCGCTTTGACAAGGCCTGGTACTTGCAGGCGATGGTGAGGTGACCAGCAGGGCCCACCTGCGTTAATTCCAACCAAGGATGGAGATCCTCCTCTTAATAGCACATATCCTGGGCACTGCTGTAAAGATCATATGTTGTCATGCATCATGATCTCAGTCTCGGCCTACCTTGTTTACTCCAGAGAAAAGATAACACTGGTGCATCATCCGTAGTGGTTATACTACCCTCACAGTGTAATGTATGCATAGAGTGAGTTGGTGAACGGTACAAAGAAGACAGTAGAATAGTAGAGGCAGACCAGTGCAGTCAACTGAGGTTTTGAACAACGGATCAGCATCATGGCACAGCAGTAGTAACCCTAGTGTGCTCCATTCTTCGCACTCAAGCCTGAATCAGAAGAAGCTCAGCACAGGGCACAGGCTCTGTATCACCGGCGAGGATCCTGAAATACTTTGGGAAGATTTTTAACTCCAGATTTTGCCCAGGCACTGCTGTTAGGCTACTCTCTTCAATGTGCAACTGCCAAAGGATTTTTTTTTTTTACGTGCACAGCAGTGCACACGGGCGTCCGATCTCACTACCCAGAGGCAAGGGGGAAGTCCAAGTCCTCGTGAAAAAATCCCAGCCCTTACCCGGGATTAAGCCTGTAACCTCTATCACTCAAGGCAGACTCCATGCATTGAGACCACGCAGAACCCTGCAGTAAACTAAATGAAAGATATACAGACATCTATACCTTATTGTCATGACATGATTAGAACCCTTTAGCATCAACTCAGGGACCCACAACTTGATAATATTTGTTAAAACATGATGATGGGGACATCTGTTATATACAATATCTGTTTAGTGGAATGTTATTGGCACCTCTCCGTCTTTCCAGACTATAGTGTTATATTGCGCTTTGACAAGGCCTGGTACTTGCAGGCGATGGTGAGGTGACCAGCAGGGCCCACCTGCGTTAATTCCAACCAAGGATGGAGATCCTCCTCTTAATAGCACATATCCTGGGCACTGCTGTAAAGATCATATGTTGTCATGCATCATGATCTCAGTCTCGGCCTACCTTGTTTACTCCAGAGAAAAGATAACACTGGTGCATTTGAAACAAAAAACAAGTAAGGAAGTACTCTTGCTTTCTTTAGCGTTCACCAGTATGCACATTTGTGGCCGAACATCTTCGAATTGAGCAATCCCTTTATAAGTAAGTCACCTTGCACAACATGCTCTGTTCTAGGGGGCAGGGGGTCTATCTTTCCCTTCCTCTTTCACTGGAGCCATGAGGAAGGGGGGGGGGGAATTCTTGGTTTCTGTATGTGTACATCTGCCTGAGCATTTTTGTGCACATGCTTACTTACATATAAATATGTGTGTGTGTAGATATCTATGTTTGTGTTTGTCTTATGTACTCTGTTGATTCTGTTGGCTCAGCGTTAATTTTATATGTGATTGTAAAAGCTTTAACCATACACAATACATATAGTATAATTACTGTTTGCAAGACGACTGGTTGTAAGTGCCGAGGTAAGACTGGCCTGCGTGCCCAATGGGTTCATTGCTGTCTTTTATCTGATGATGAATGCTACAGTTCACTGGTAATCTTCTTTTCACACAGGACCTGTCTTGTCTGAACCGGGACATGTCCAAAATCATCATGCTGGACTGTAACCCGGAGTCAGTGAAGCTGCAGCCTCAGAACTCTCTGGTGTTGAAGAGATGGACAGGGGATGACAATGATAGGACTCTCATAGATCTTGCTCATTTTCTTAAAAGTCAGTCAGTTTGTATTTTATCTGAATTAGTAATTATGTTTTGCAGATGTTAAACAGGTCACACACAAAAACAACTTGAGCCACGAGTATTAAAATTTTTTTTAAAGAGGCTAAAACACAAAAGTAACTAAACAAAAATATCAGAAAGTGGTGGTCACCATTGTTTGTCACACTTTATTTCACATAAAAAGATTTTATGTAAAGAGATAGGCAAGATGATTTTGGTCTATTTTTTATCATTGGAAAGTATCAGCATGCAAATTGGAACTTGCTGACTGCACTGTGCGAAGAGCCATGATTGCCCAGGCAACAAGATGAAAATCCCAAACAAATGAGAAAACATTCAATGGTTATAAGCATGAACAGATTTCCCCTGATCTGAAAAGACCCGGTCAACCATTTTTCACTTGTGCACTGGGTGTTGCAGACTCAGCACTCATATAATTAGGTATGACCCAAACAGGTTTGTGCTGAACAGACCCATGAACAAATCTTACAAGACTCCTCTCTTCGAGGAGCTGGAAAGCAACATGTGGCCACATCAGATAGATCTAATAATTAGGCTTTGGGGAAACCTAAGAGACCTTGAGATAACATTCCAGTTTATGGCCCAGTATGGATTAATCATGTGACCTGAGATTGCTCAAGAAGAAGAAGTCAGCAGGACTCTTGGGAATCTAATAGGTATATTTTTACTTCGCTGGTATTCTTAGCTAGTTAATTAGTCAAAGTCGACAGATTATCCTAATTGCGCATCGAACCTTTCATTCCATAAGTGCTCAGATCCCTTTCTCGGTCAATCATGTAATGGCTAGTGACACCCTTTCTGTGCTGGTTTCTTATTCTTCTTTGACTTCCTGCATGGTGCTTTTGTCTGGCCACACCCCTTTTAACATGTTGTGCTTGCAGTCTGATCATAGTTGTAGATTCGCCGTCATCACCTGGTTCTTGCAAACATCTTAGCTAATGCCTGTGCAGAATATAACAGCTAAATTCCCTATGCGAGTTCGGAGACCCCATCGTGGGGAAAGCAAGAATAGACCCACTGTCTACCCAAAAGCATGTCGTAAGAGTCAACTAATTGAGAGCTTCCTACAAAGTCAGAGTGTATTTGTCTGAGGGGCAAGGAACCAACAGTCTGCATACACATGAGTCAGATCTGTAAAATTGATGTGCATGCAAAACTCAGGTTCTTGAAAGAACTAGAGTCCAGAAGATAACAAAAACTTTCTGCCAGAGTTTACAGCCTGTGAATGCGAAAAAGAAGATAAAAGCTAATTGGTATAATAGGATCACAAATGAGGAGCTCACAGACAAAACTTAACTAAATTCAACAACAGTACATGCAGTGTTAGAGAGCCACAGCTGTGAATGCGAAAAAGAAGATAAAAGCTAATTGGTATAATAGGATCACAAATGAGGAGCTCACAGACAAAACTAAACTAAATTCAACAACAGTACATGCAGTGTTAAAGAGCCACAGCGGCTAGCGTAGGTTCATACCCGCACATTTTAATTATTTTGGCTATTAGATTGACTAATCCTTAATGGTTGTCATGTAATGTTCTTCTGGGAAGTAAAGGTGGGTGGCATACTGTTGCCCAGTCAGGCGTTGATTTCTAATTTGTCTTTAAAAATAAGGTCCTAGCACTGTATGCCCATAAGGCCTCATCTCTTGTAAATGTCTCCTGTACTTAACTTACAAGCCTGTGTTCTACGTTTAGCTGACTGAATGTTTCATGCCGTACAAATTTCTCTTATATTTTACTGTCTCTGGTAGTTCTATCCTTTTCGCCTAATTTTTTTTTCTTTTATAGTGCTGTTCTGCCTTTCAGCATTGGGTTTTGATGAAGGAATTAGGTATGTGTGATATAGATGCTGGTATTTACAGCCTCGGATATTCCATTATCCATTGCTTGTGTGGTCAACCTCTGTTTCTGCTTCCATTATGTTTAAATGAAGGAGCTCTCTTTGGTGCACTGTGTGGTGCGTGTCTTGACACATGTCCGAACCATTTAATCTGTTGTCTCTTGATAAAGTTTAGTACTGGTTCCTTCCCGACTTCTTTTCTGATATTGTCATGCCTGATCCTGTCTCTTCATATTAACATTTTGGACTAGTCGTAGACATTTCGTTAGTCGTTTCGATTTTTTTTTTTAACCACCTATTTTTGGCACTAAAAAAAGATTGTTTGTTTGACAAAATTTTTTTTATTGAATAGGTGCTCTTTTGGTTTTCCCTCATTGCTGTATCATTTTTTTCCTCCTTATCTTTACTAGATTTGTTGTCTTACCATTGTCATAATCATAAATGTATGTTATCTTTCTTGTAGTTCACGCCTCGGCATGTTTTTGTTTTTAAAAGAAGTGTGAGCTAAAGATAGGCAGCCTGCTGTTATCTCCCTACATGTAGCCACATCTGACTCACCATTTCATCATCCTTAACACTGCATGTCTTTGGGTTGTCAGTTTCTCCCACCTTTGACGGTCAAATGTACTGGACTTCATGGATGGTTGCGTACCTAAGGCCTGTCCTGTCCTTTGGGTTCTGTTACCAAGTTTTTTCTGGGTCCGTTTTTTCTTCTCTTCCCCTGAAGACTTCTTTGGTATTGTTTTTTGTGTGTGAGGGGCTGTTAGATCTTAATGCATATCTATGCTATTACATTTTCTTTTAACTGTATTTAGAAAAGCTTCATAGTTGCAGACTCACCATTTATCATTGCATTATTTTTAATTGTCCTGCGGTTATATTTTCAGCCATTGCTGCAAGTGGAGTGGATGATATCCGGGCAGTCATAGAGTACTACAGTCAGTTTGACGACCCTTTAAGTGCATTTAAAGAGAATCAAAGAAAGCTTCAGGTTTGGAAATTTAAATGCTTGCTTTTAGAATGTTCATTATTTGTAACTGTTTTTAATGACGTAACTTTTTTGGCTTATTTGATTATCTCTTGTATACCTTTCCTTTTTCTAACTTTGTCTTGATGTTGCCTTTTTTTTTTTTTAAATTCTCTCTTGCCCTTAACGTCTGTGGCTTAGGCGTTGTGGACGGACTTCACAATGGGGGGGGGGGGGGTTCAATCCCAGCCACGGGCCTTGCATTGGTTTCGATAGTGGTATCAAGAAGCTAACAGTCCAGAAAGCAGTGGCAAACTATTGGACGTAAATTTGCCTAGAAAAAACCACAACCAAAAAATGCCGGGGTTGGTTCTGCAACATCCTAAAAACGAAAAGCAACTAACTAACTTACCCTTAACAAGGTGTTGTGTTGAGGTTTACAGCTGGTTTGTGATACCTGCACAGATGAGACATCTGATTTTAGTAAATCATGCCTATAGCATGTTTGTTAGGTGTCAGTGCATCTGTTTTTTAAGTGATACTTGCACAGATGAGACAACATCTGATTTCACTAAATCCCTAATTAGTCACCTACGACATGTTTGCTAGGTGTCAGTGAATCTGTAACTTTTTTGTGTGTCTCTATATGAGGCACCAGAACCTACACAGAAAGATCATTCCTTAACTTAACATGATTGTTATGGTAATATGTGAGGTGAATGTTCCTAATACATTGATAATCTTTTGATCTGTTTGTTCCTGACAGTTTGCTTATTGCTCTTTAAAGCAATGAGCCAGCTTTGCAGTTTATCGTCCAATAACATAAGTGACTGACAGTTGCTGCCGTGGTACTCATTGTCATCATCTGCCACTTTTTTGCCTTCAAGCATCATGGCAAGGAATAGTTGGTAGTCTTCTGCCCGATGGGTGGGACTGGCTGTTGTTGTATCAAGGGCAGTGTCTTTAATATCATCAGTCCAACTACTTCTTAGACATCTTTTTGCTCATGTTGGTGTCCACCTACACATACAAATGCAGGTTACATCCGGCTGGTGTGACGGTTATGGGTACTGTAATTATAAATTCTGTGGAGGTTGAACAGGGTATCTGGGACTGCCTTGTTGGTCTGCCATCCAGATTGAGATTTTTGAATCTCAAGATGATATAGTAAACCTTTACATAGTAGCCCAGATAGGCAAACCGATGTTTCGTTGGTAACTGGTATTACTGCTAGACCCATTTAACCTTCTGTTTATCAAGTGATTTGGCACAGGGTGTTTTTCCACAGTCTGGCTGGTATTATCTTTCCTCACTCGGTTGCTGGTGGTTTCATTGCTTGCTTTCCTAAGACATATCATTTCACAGATGTTGTTTTGACGTATATTAGTTTTTGATAGTGTCGAAGTGTGGCACTGGTAGAGTAGTGTTGGTGTGAATACGCTTCCATTGCCTTTCCTTTTTAGGTGTTGCAAATGTGTTTTTTAATGCTGGGGTGACAGATTCAATCCCAGCTGCAGATGATTTGGCATCAGACCGCCTTGCTCTACCTTTAACAGTGATATCAAAAGCTAACCATTCAAAAAGCAATGTCAAACTACTGGACGTAAATTTGACTACAAAAACAACAGCCAAAAAAGACTGTGGTCGGTTCTGCCACATCCTGCAAAGGACATGCAGCTAACTTGAACCTTTCCATCAAAGAAATGTTAACTAAGTTCAAGGATAAACGTTGAGTAAAGAGTCAGTTGATGATAAAATACCTCAAACCTGTGGAGCAAACATGACATACCTAGGCCTAATCACAGCGAGGCTGTACATGCTGTGTTGAATCATGACCTAGAAACATTCTTTTACACCTCCCTATAGATGTTGTGAGGGCCCTGTGGGAGTGAGTAAACGTGAGGAGATCATTACGATCTGAGGAGAATGGTGCTCCGGGGAGTTACCAAGGGATCTGGCTGATGCTCAACACTCGAGGGAAAAGTGAGAGGTATATACGAGCAGACAGTTACTGGTACCATCGGAATCGGAGCTCTTTGCTTGCTGCTGAAGATGAGGGTGGAGCGCTTATGGGGCTGTCCTGAGTGCTGTAATGATGATTCCCAATTTAAAATTCAATAATGAACTGCAGAAGAATGTATTTTTTGTATGGTCACCGAAGTCCAGGGCCTGCGGGCTTATCTCCGGAATACGAAACAGTCCAGGAAATTAACATAGTCAGCAAATGCTCATTGAAGTCTGCTGTGTCGGCCAAAAGGTGCAGATATCACAGGTACAATGTGGTTACATCATTTGGATGAATCTTCTTCTTCTTATTCAGCGATCTCTGGTCATGCGCATAATCCACTGTGGGTCATAAACTGGGATGTCTTTTCAAGGTCTCTTGGGTTTCCCCAAAGCTTAGTTGTCAGTTCTACTGGGTGTTGCCATATGTCGCTCCGCAGCTCCGCCAGGAGAGGACAGTCTTGCAGGACATGTTCTGGAGTCTGTTCAGCACGAAGGCACTGACAGAGAGCTGTTTGGCTCATACCTAATTTATGTGAGTGTTTATTGAGTCTGCAGTGTCCAGTGCGTAAGCGAAAAACTGTGACTTGGTCTGTTCTGTTCAAGTGTTTCAGAAAATCTTTTCCGTAGTTATAACCAGTGTTGGTTTTCCAATCTGTTTCTGATTTTCTCTTAATGAGAGTTTTGACTTCTAGAAAAGATAGTGGCTGGTAGGTCTGTGGTTTGTTACTGCCTTCCTTGGCTAAAGCATCTGCGCTTTTATTGCCTTTGATGCCACAGTGAGACGGAATCCACTGCAAGTGAATTTCTGCCTTATTTGACAACATAGCAAGTTCCTGTGTTAGACTTTGTAGTGTGCTGTCGGTAGGTTTGGACTCTAGGGCCTGTATAGCTGACAGTGAGTCAGTCAGAAAAACTATCCTGCCTGCGGTAATTTGCAGATTGTTCATGTACTATTTGGATGAATGAAAGGAAGAAGAAGATATTCCCCAGACTATCATCCGTGGACTGATGAAGGTCCGTGGACATTTCCTGGTATCTGTCAGATGTTTCCACACAACAAGGGGCTAAGTCAAACAGCACACTGCAATTTCTTTTCTATATTCCCACTATCATTCTCATCATCATCAAGTGCCTTGCCAACTGGTGTGGGCAATCATGCCTCTCCACAGTGTGATCTGCAACTGCATTTATCGGTTTGTGTGCTGACACCTTTCCATGCCATAACAAAAGGCTGTCAAGAATCTTCTCGTGTTGTCTTCTTCTGTCTCTCCACAAATCTTTCCAATGGTCGCCACATGTTCCAGCTTCCCTCTTCTCACAATATGACCAACAAATGATAACTGTCTCTTTCTGATGTTTGTGATTGTCTTTGAGCCCTCGCCTCTTTCAGAACATTTGGGTTGCACTTCTTGGCAGTCTTAAGGATTCTTTTGTGTGAATATTTTTAAAAGCACTGTTTTAGAGGATTTACCAACTAAACAAATGAAATGTTTGCTGGTGCATAATACTTAAGCACATAAATTTTATGGATAGCCTGTCTGTTGAAATCAATTGTGCTGATGTTTGTTTTATTTATTTAACATCTTGTTGTTGAATATTTTCAGGAAGAGGAGGAAACCAGGGCAAAACTGGCACAAGAAGAAAGCAAAAAGAAGAGTTGGCTGTCAGGGTTCACGAATCGACGATGATGTCCTGGTTCTGCACTTGTATAACTGTCTATTTAAATGGTATCAGTTGTTAAGTTGTGATTGAGAGGCATTTGTGTTCACTTTTGCCAAAGGTCCAAATAATGTTCACTATGTTTGGTAATATCTTGTATGTGGACTTTTGTATGAGAATGAGTACTTTGGCATATGCTTGTGCATATAAGTTAGACCACATATTTTTATATGGATGTTGCTTGCGGGGTATGAGCTCTACTTCTTGGCTTTTACTGGCTGTAAACTCTGTAGGAAAATTCTGGTTGTTTATCCCCTTCTGGACATTGGTCTTGTTCCAGGACTTGAGTTCTGTGTGCACATCTGGATTACATATCTGTCTTTTTTTGTGTGCCGCCTGTTGGTTGTTTGCCTGTCAGGCAGATGCACACTCAAAACTTCCTTAATTAATCGCCTTTTTTTGACGTGCCTGTGGCAACATACAAATGTGTGTCGTGGACTATCTCGCAGTAATTAAAATAGAAAATAGGGAGATTTTGAGCTGAAAGATTCTCAGTGCCATGACAAAGAAGAAAATAAATACAGACATCTTGAAAGATCCGAACATCAAGGAAGATTGGCTAGTAAACAGGATTCTTCTGCGTTTATCCTTATAAAAAAGCGGTGGGTCATATCACATTATGTTATGGTTTACAGCTAGGCTTCAATATCTGCACCTTTTGGCCCACCACAAGTGATTTCAACAAACTCCTAATTAGTCTTCTGTAGCAACATGCTTGTTATATGGCAGTGTATTCTGGGTCATGAGCCCACACAGGGAGGACATACATTTTGAAAACCTGGTAATATAATAGGGTAAAGTCATTTTTCTGATAGGGGGGGGGGGGGTCAAAGTATTCACAGAGATGAGAACTCAAGACAGTAAATAATACAGAGGAAACAGAGAGAGAGAGTTGCAAAAGGTAAGAAGACTTTGCATACATTGATTCAGTGCCTGTGCTCTGTGGGAGGATAAAAGAGAGGAAAAACTGAGTTTGTAGTGAACAATTGCAGTCAGTTAGAATATGTACATTTGATTTAAGTGGGTTTTTTTTTTTTTTAGTGATGAAAGTTGTTAGAGTTGCCAGCTAGGAGAACTGTGAAGATTTGGCTGGTTGTTTTCTGTGTATGTTTGTTATTGCTGATGTTTATACAGAACTTGAATGTATTACACAAATAAAACTGAAGCAGTAATTCATTTTGCGGAAGTGTTTGTGTTCACAGATGTGTATCTTCTTGTAAATTAAAGTCCGTGTCTCATAAGACAAAGATAGAATATATCAAATGCTGATAGGACAGGGGCATGGCAGAATATCAGTGGAATTATCCTGAACACCAAAGACCGAGATCTTTGATGCATGAATGCCTACACCAGCTGGCAGGGCACTTGTTAATGATGATAATACCAGTTGTTTTATATAGTTCTGAAACTTTGAGCATAACTAAAAGAGAGGAAGCCTTATTACACATTTTTGTAAACGGTCTTAAACAAATCTTTGGACCCATCAAGGATGCAAAAAGTGGGGAATGGCGAGTGAGAAGCAATAACAAAAATTCATTATCAATTTAAATCGCAATTAATCACTGGGATCATGAGTGCTAATAGACTGAAATTGGCTGGGGGCATATTCAGAGAATGTTAGCCGGCAGAGAGGTAAAACTAAGCAGACGATGGAGATATAATGTGCAGACAGACCTACAAACACGTGGAAAGGCAGGGCCAACCAGAGAGATGGGGTGATATCTCCAGCAATGAACCTCCGGGGCTTGGAATGCTGAGGAAGACGATCTACATGTATACAGAGTTACCAAACAATTTTGAAACAGCTGTTATAAAACACAGATATACAAATATTCTAAATGTATTCTATTCTTCCAATTACATTTCTCCTTGATCTCCCCTATTAGTCACATGCGCTTTTAAAAAAAATTTAGCCTAACTTAGCTACAGCAACGCGTGGCCGAGTAACGTTAGTGAGAAATGCGTCTGTAAAAAATTTGTCTCCAGCCATGTTATTGCTTTGGTCACTGCCATGGCCTCCATTGTCAGACTATTTTTGGTCAAGGCAATAGCACCAGAATCTTGTTTCACAATTCTAATTCCAGCCTGAGCAGTGAAATTTCCGTTTTTAGATTCTAAAAATAACCATGTCTTCCTTCTCTACAGCAAAATTGTATTAAGTTCTCTGTAAAATCGAAAATATAACAGCAGACATTGCTCAGCTCATGGGGTTAAATTTTATCCGATTTCTCAGTTAATAGCTCATTGGAGCCCTTAAATTACCAACGATAATTTTCATGTATAAATATCAAAGAAAATATTAATGCTTATTCCTAAAACCTAAGCCCTGAAGCGAAATAATTTATACATGCGAACTATCACCAAATGCTATCTGGTCGCTTTTATTTTTGTATTAAAAGGCTTAGTCGGAATCAGCGGACTGACAAATGTATGTTAGGTCTAAAGAAGGCTTATATCATAAAATATAATAAAATTCTTTAGCGTGTTCAAACTCTTTTTAAAAAAATCAAATATGTGTGTGCGTGGGTAAATGTGCCCGTGCAGGTGTGTGACCATCAGACTATATGGAAAAATATAAACTAGAGCATTGGATAGATTTATTAGTTTTGATGAGATGTAGAAATCGAAGGCAATTAAGAACATTATTTTGTCAATCAGAAAGAGTTGGTACCCGACTAGATGTTGTAGCTGACCATCAAGAATCCTTATGCTCCAAAGAGAATCACCACATTGTACATTGTTCATTTTTGATATCATCTTTATACCACATCGAAAGTGACCATCTTCTTCTTCTTCTTCACTTCCTCTTTTACCGCTGTGGGTGTCGAGGGAGATATAAGGTTGTTTCTAGCTCTTCTGGCTGCCTCGACCATAGGCACATCGTGCTGTTGTAGAGTTTCTCTGATGTAATCCTTCCATCTTGTTCCTGGTCTACTCCGTGCTCTACGTCCTTCTTCTCTTTCCATGTATGCTTTGTATGGTATGGTGTAACAAGGCATTCTCTCTAAGTGGGCAAACCATTTCAATTGCTGTCTTTGTATATAATCCAGAATTGGTTCTGTGCCGACTTGTTCTCTTATGATCTCATTCCTGATCTTATCTCTTATGGTCACTCCTACAGCCCTTCTCAGACATCTCATCTTCATGGTTACTAATTTTCCTTTATGGTTTGTTGTGAGTGACCATGTCTGGCACTGGTAGCACAGAGTTAGAATACATATGCTTTGAATAAGATTCTTTGTGCTGATTGGGAAAGTGACCATAAGAGCTCTAATCTCGTCCTGAGTAGGTCTCTTAAGTGTTTTTAGGCTAACAACTCCCATTCTCTTCTGGCTGATGTCATGACAGATGGTTCCCACGTGGTTCTCCTGCCTCGCTGCTCCAATTGGTATACCCAGTATATGCAGTCTATTCATTGAGAAATCATTGTCCCCGAAACTGGAAGGCTCACAGCGTTTAGTCTCTCCTATGGATATGATGGTGTCTCTCCTGTCAATACAGAACCCCTTCCTGATAGTCGCACTGACAGCCAAAGCACCTGCTCTCTCATTGCCTTTCCACCACCATGCCATGGGACAAAAATGAAGGGCATTTTGCTAAAAACTGCTTGCTGTATCAGACGGAGCCACTGTTTCCGTATGTACCCCGCCTCAATCTTCTGTAGAAGCTCATTGAGTAGCAGAGCAAACATGCATTGATGAACTCCTGAGTTTCAGCCATTCTAGGGCCTTTCACACAACCATGCCCTCAATGCTGATGGTAAAAGCAAATGCTTGTATCATCAGTAGAGAGCACCACAATGCCCACTCAATAATTCAGGGTTTCTTTCCTAATGTTTAGACATCTACATCCATGCATCAGTCACTACGTTGACATGGTTATGTGGTTTACAGCTTCGTCAATACAATACTAATCGTCCTCGTTATGGTTAAGGTGTAGAATGTCATGGACCTAATTATATGTGTACGACTGCTTTCTAGTGTTGTTCTGCAAGATGCGTTTTTGCCTTCTGATCTACATTGGGACGTCGATGCTGAGCGGGAGAAAAAAAAAGGGAAGAGTTGAGTAAATTAGTGACAGTTTGCTTTGTAAGGACTGGTAGTTTAGATTTTACTTGCAGGTGTTCTCCAAAAATGGTGAAAATATGGGGGTGACTGCAGTCAAGCTAATACAATGAATTCAAGAGAAATTTGACTAAAAAGCTCAACAAAATGGGAAAGAGGAAAACGTGCACAAAACAACACAACGTAACGTTTCGGCCGGGCAGCCTTTTTCAAACACAAGTGAAATACACAAACGAGGAATGGAGAGTATGTAGATCTCTAAGGGGTGACGTGAGCGACGTTTAAACAATGTGATGCGGAATAAATGAAATAAAATAAAATAAACGATGGCTAAAAAAATAGTCACAATACTGGGAATAAAAGAAATGCAAGTGTTAATGATACATAAATGATATTGATAAGAAATAGAATATGGTAATAATATGAAATAAAATAAAATAATTAACATTTAAAATGTGATAAGATTAGAACTATTTAGATGAAGGTATGTTGGATATTGATACCTCTTGGACTAAGAACGCCAAGGCTGTGGATAAGGCGATTTTCCAAAGCGAGGCGGGTAGTATGATCGCCAGAGCAAGATTTTAATGCTGTGGCAGATATGTCATCTTTACCGCTGTGGTCAGGGCTATTGAAATGCAGAGGGATTGGTTTGAGTGTCTTTTTGTCGATATCAGAGAGGTGTTCCCGGAAACGATCAGCTAGCTTCCTGCCAGTCTCCCCAATGTATGCCTTGCTGCATCGTTTGCAGATAATTGCATAAATTACGTTGCGGGATTCGCAAGTAAAAGGTTCCCTAATTTGAAAAGAACCATTAGGGAAACTGACCGAAGAAGTTTGGACAACGAAAGGACATGTTTTGCAGGTGCTGCAACTACAGCCAACCATTGGCCAGAATCGAGGAG